GATAGACAGATAGATAGATAGATAGATAGATATATAGATAGATAGATAGATAGATAGATAGATAGATAGATAGATAGATAGATAGGGCGCAAATCCTCGCTCAACAGCAAACTTTCTATGCGCTTCCTAATCTATACTATTACCCCAGCAGACCTGAGATCAGTTGTGGGTGGTTGGCGGGTGCTCTGGTGTGGTTTGCTTCTTCTTTCCTATCAAACATCTATGGTCCTTATCCCCCCTCCTTGTTTATGTTTGTTACTCTCTTGTAACACCTCTAATCTGTTGGCGCTCATATGACCTTATGCAGTTGCGAGCGCCGTAAAACCTCTACTAAAACTAAAATGAAAGCATTCTGAAACAACCTCAACTTCCTGGGAAGCATACAGAGCAAGCAGCCATTTATAGGCGCTAGAACATTAACATACTGACAGGATCATTCTTTCGCTGTCTATGAGCTTGGTACCCATTCCCACCTGGGTGAACTGTAACGGGGGACAGAGATAACGTAAATGAACACAGCCTCGATGACGCGATCACACATCAAAAAACGCGGAACAGCGGGGGGAGATACGGATGAAAATACGCACAATCAAAAGTAGAAAGAAAACAAGGAAAGAAAAAGAGAAACGAAAAACGAAAAAAAAAATCCGATATAATAAAGCAAAGTTAGTCCTGGTAGAAGTTGGGAAGTAGAAAAGCATTCCACTGTTTATGATGTAGGTGGAGGGGGGAATTAAAAAGAAGGATGCGAACCCCACGGGTGTGGAAACGAAACTAACCTGCAGTGAAAAATCTGGATCGTAAAGACGGAGTTTGGGCGTTTTGAAGACAATGGACCGGAAACTGGGCGCAGCGGGGTGGCCAGACATAACATGAGAGCCTCGTACCTCTTTATGGTTATGGGTCTGTCTGCTTGTCTGCACCGGCTTTGTTGTCAGTCTGATCGGCGTGTGTCTGTGTGTGTTTACGAGTGCGGACCGTTTGTTGATCCATTTGATTTGTTCGTGGTCGGCCTGGTCCCAACATTTGGTTGGAAAATTAAAATGGCGTGGCGTTTGTAATTGTTTTGTTTTTGTTGTTGGTTGAGGCTATTTTTCTTTTTTGTTTTTGTTTTTGTCTTTTTTTTCCTTCTAGAAAGCAGAGCAAATATTATGTTAATGCATGTTGTTGATTTTCTCTAATCTGGGGGGGCGTGTGTGTGTTGGTGTGTGTGTGTGTGTGTGTGTGTGTGTGTGTGTATTTGTGTTTGTGTGTGTGAGTGTGTGTGTGTGTATTTGTGTGTGTGTGTGTGTGTGTGTGTGTGTGTGAGCGCATAATCCACATCTACCTACACGGGTCTACTTTTTACGTAATTACGACATTATGTTCGCTTCACAACAAACCGGACGTCCGGAGAGGCCCCGTGGTGTTCTCATGGGCCCAATCAACTCGTATCAATTCCGTGAGTAATGAGCGTGTGAAGACCGCACGACTTCTCAATTATCTGCCACCCCGGCGGTCTGATTTATATATATAACACGGACACCCATGCGCAGTATGCCCTGGTCTAAAAAATGAAGAAGATTTCTTTTCTCCATCTCTCTCCTCTTCCTCCTGCACCGTCTCTCTCTCTCTCTCTCTCTTCAACATACATACACACAAACAAACAAACACACACACACACACACACACACTATTATGTAGGCTACACTTGAGCCTGTCAGATAAGTGCGCAAACATAATCTAGAACAGGACAGCAATAGCGACAGTTGCCGATAACAATTTCACCACACAGGATATCCCCCTTTCTATCTCTACACGAACCTTAGAGAGATGTCAGCGGTCAGTGACAGGTCAAAGGCGGAGAGAGACCAGTGACATAATGATACGACACTATTCTTAGATAATAGATACATTGAGAAGCATTTCAGAGATTTCACATTAATCTTCGAGCCGTTCAAACCATACAGACTGATATTTTCCACGTAGACAAGTGAACATTGTCAGGCGTTTGCATTATTATTTCACAGGGAGCTCCTAAAACAACAATAACAAAAAACACAACCTCGAAAACCCCCCATGTGAACTAAAACCTCACACTTGATTGAGGAGTCTTTCGTTGTTGTTGCTTGCAAGGGCAAATTGATAAAATGATATAGATCTAGATATTTGCACTTTGACCATTAGGAGATATGAAAATAAAACGGTCTCTCGGTTGTGAATAGTTCTTTCAAACGAAGAGTTTTTTAATCTAAGAGGGATACGTCGACATAGTAAGAGTAATTTAATGTTGGGAAAAGTAAGACAGAAACAACAGAAGGATAACAAAAAAGTGGAATATACCAGTGGCGCCCTCCGACCACCCGCCTAATTAACAACACCCTCATAAACTTTACTGCACCGCTCATTTCTAATATTAATAATCAAACCTCTTCCTTAAAAGGAAGGATTTCAGTCCAACGTTCAGTTTCATGAGTTTGAGTATTCCATTTTCATGTCCCCCCTCCACCCACTCGCCACTCACCCACCCACACTCACACTCAGGAAAATTGTAAAGCCATGAGGGCATTACAAAACGTTAAAGCGTGCCGACCATAGACATATCTGTACACATTTATTTGAGAAACGCCCAGATGAAAGAGGCAGGTCTTCCTGAGGAGAAGACAAAACGAAAAGAGTCACGTTGTATTTCCCAACACGCGCAACGTACACAAGTAAGTGGCTACTTCCTGTTCCCC